TGAGTTCTAGTCCCACCCTAGCCATGAAAGTCAACTGGGTGACTTTGGGCCAATCACCTAGGCGACGAGAAGTTCTAATCCCGCCTTAGCCATGAAACCCAGAATTGGCTTAATTCTGTTCAAGGGCCGACATCCTAAGTTTTAGGAATGAACACTAATTTCACGGATATTTTTCGCTGCATTGCAAATGCTCATTACTGAACTTCATCTGCTATGCTGCTATAGTGTCTTCCTGCTTGGCTAGGCCTCAAAGAAGTAATTCAGTTTTAGCCGACGTGGTTTCCCTCCAATTATTTCAAAAATCAGAGACGACGACTCATTTTTCTATTAAAATGATGAATGAGCTAAATGAGCTATGTAATAAAATACTGCAGGCTTGTAAACAAGGGAGGTTTTTTTTTTTTTTTTTTTAAAGGCTGAAAACGTGCCACCTCGTTTAGCATGCCTGCCCTGTGGCATTTTCTAGGCTGGCCATTTTTAAAACACAGGAAAGGAAGAAAACAAAAAAAATGAAGGGAAAATCTGGGAAATAAAAAAAATCAGTTGTAATTAATTTTTGGAGGAAATCGGAAGCCTCGTTGGAGTCGAAGATCAGCCAGTGACAAATGGAGCTAACAAAATTGTGACATGCAGCACAATAAATTCCCAATTTAACAGGCATCCATTTAGGGGACTTCAGATCATCATCAGCATCTCCTTTTAATGACCCCATAATCCCTTGTGAGGTGGAGTCCGGACAACTGAATGGAGCTGAGCGTTGTTGTTTTTTTGTAAACTTTATTTGAGTTTTCACAAAGAAAAAAAATATATAAATAAAACATCTGTTTTGAAAGCAGCATAATCCTGGGTTACACATCTTCGTACAGATACAAATTCAGGTTCATGCTCATTTTTATATTCTATTCCATATCTTATTACTATTTTACATTTACTACATAGCTTCTTCCCTCTTTTAATTTTCTCAATTTTATTTTAATTATCTCATCTCAATTCAAATCATTGTATTTATATTTTTTGTCTGTCCTGTTTCAATTATCTATTATCTTTTCTCATTAAACAAAATTTCTCCTGTAGTTACTGATTGGAGTATGACGCCTTTATATCATTTCCCTAAAGTTGTAACATTCAATATAATACATAACTTCCGTTCGGATTCTGCTTGGTACATTCTTAAAATACACACTGTATTCTTAAAAAAAGAAAAAAATTATAAATGTATATAATTAAAACAACATTCTATTCAATTCTATCTTTAATATTAATATTCATTAAAGTCTTAACATCTTTAACATTACTTTTCAATTTAATATCATACTGGAGCTGAGTGTTTTACTGGCCGGATGCCCTTCCTGTCGCCAATATGGAGTTTTGTTCGGCGGATCTATTCTCATCGTGCCGAGAGAGAGAAATATCTGCCTCTACCTAGGATCGAACTCACAGCCTCCTGATTGTGAGGCCAGAGTTCCACCCTCTAGGCCACCTCACCACTTGTTTAGCGGACTTCGGATGCCACAGACAAAACTTGTGTGATCTTGCCCAGTCACAACTGTGACAGCATGGGAGCATCGGATCTCAATATGGCTTCCAAAGCTGACAATTTGCTTTAGAAATACGGGCAGTCCTTACAACCACTCGTTTAGTGACCGTTCAGTGTTACAGTGGCACTGAAAAAAAAGGGACCTAGGACCGTGTTTCACAGTTACGACCTTTCCACATCCCGACAGTCATGGGATCCAAAATTCATGGCAACTACTTCCTCTTTATGAGTGTTGCTGGGTCTGCTGACAAGCCAAGCCAACAGGGAAGCCAGATTTACTTAACAACCGGGTGGCTAACTTATCAACGGCAGTGACTCGCTTAGCAAGGGAGACAAAGGAGGTCATAAAATGGGGCAAAATTCACTTCACAAATGTCTCATTTAGCGGCAGAAATTTTGGGTCGTAAACCAAGGACGACTTGTAACCAATTTTAAACGTGGCATCAAGGTTCAGAAATATATATATTTTCATTGCCTCTCCAGTTAAGAAATGAGGTTTTAACACCAGCAGCAACTCCATAAACCGGTTTTTCTAAAACATCATGTCTTAAAACCAGCTGGTTTTCCCCAGTGCTGAAGCAAACGTGCGAACGATAAACGTCAGGTCATTATAAGGAGATGGATATACGGCGGCTTTTGTCTGCCTCAGTTATCCATAGATTTACATTTTAAATTCCAGATGCTCCGGCGGTTCAGCCTGGCCCTCATCATTTGTCCGCTGATGGACTGTCAATAAGTTATTTATAGCCATGTCACCGCTATGAAAACCATGCCAGCGACTATAAATCTCAGCGGGTCCGAATGAAGTTTTTTCCACAAGACACTTTTGATGAGAAAGAGTCAAATAGAAGAGCTCCCTCCTAAAATTACGGTTTTAGGAGGTCCCAAGGAGTGAGGAGGGGGTGGATTATTTCCTTTTAAACCTTCCCCTGCCCATTTCATGTTCTATCTCAGGGGTGTCAAACTCAAGGGCAGTGGGACAGATTCGGCCCACAGAGTGTTTAGATCTGGCCTGCAAACACAGTTTCTCCTGCCCTCCAAAAAAAACCTACCCTGAAAGTAAGTCCTAGCTTGATTTTTGCACACACGCCCAATATATAAGCCCTACCCCCAAAATAAGCCCTAATTAAGATCCCGCCCACTCCAGAGCGCATGGGTAAAAATTAAGCTAGGGTGGGGAAGGAGTGGGGTGGAGTGGAGCTGCCCTACTACTTACCTTTGGATAGGTGTAGCTGGGCCTCGCACACACATCCGACACCCGCCTTGCCGGCCCATTTCTTCTGCAGCCAGCAAGGCTTTCCTGAAGGCCTCTGGAGCTGAGAACAAAGCTCTGGATCGATCCTGAAGGCTGCAGAGGCCTTCAGGAAAGCCTTGCCGGCCGCAGAAGAAAAATTCCTGAAGGCCTCAGACGGAAGGAAGGAAGGAAGTGAGGGAGGGAGGGATTATGAGAGTGAGGGAGGGTCTCAGGGAAGTCCTGCATTAGAACTTGGCCACCACAGGTGCCCCCGACACAAGTCCCCTGTCATGGCCGCCATGCCTACCCCAGGTCATGTCCCCTTGGCCCTCCGAGGTCAAACACAACCCTGATGCAGCCCTCAATGAAATCGAATTTGACACCCCTGTTCTATCTTTTAGGTTGTAAGCTCAAGGGTAGGGAATCCCGTATCATTATTATTTGACTTCACACAACCCTCCGCCCGTCTTTCCCAGGTTTGTAAATTCCAAAAGATGGAAGCTGCCCGATGCTACAAATCTTACCCACATTTCCCTGAGGGTGTAAAAGCAAACGGAGTCCATTTTCGTTGGGCAGATGGGAGCCTCCTGCAGCTCCATTCGTGGCCTGCCTTCTATCAACCAGCATCCCTTTCCTGACTTGAAAAGCTTGACGTTAGGCCAACAATACCACACTTTCAAAAGGAAAATTGCGACATTTCCTTTTAAGTGCCTCAAAGAACTTAAAAAAATTAAATGCACGTTTCGGAACGTGGAAGTATCGGAGAAGGGAGGAAAAAATTTAAAAAAACCCACCAGGAAAAGCCTTTAAGCAAAATTTGCAGTTCTATTCCCCACCCCAAAAAAAGATATTTAGGTTATCTTTTAGTAAAATGCAGAGGTCGTCTTACAGAAAAATAGATATCTACTTAATTTGAACGTGAATGTCTTTAGCGTATCTCAACTGGCATTCTTGAATTATCTTTTCTTTTGGATTGCAGGCAGTCCTTGACTTGCAACCACAAATTTGAAAACCAGAATGTTGGTTGCTAAACCTAAGCGGCTGTTAAGTGAGTCAGGCCCAATTTTACAAACTTTTCTTTTTTTTTGGCCATCATTGTTAAGTGAATCCCTGCACTTAAGCGACTCGTGTGGCCGTTAAGTGAATCCGGCTTCCCTTATTAACTTTACTAGCCTCAAATGGAGATCGGGCGACTCCGTGCGACGTTGCAGCCGTCGTAAAGGCTCGTGGCTTGGAGCCGTCCAAATTTGGATCACAGATGGCGGGGACGCTGAGGCCACCGTAAACGTGAGGCATGCTGGAAGGTCGCTTTTCTCGGTGAATCGCTGCTGTTGTTAAGTGTGTCACGGGGTTTTGAAGTGACTCCGGCTTCCCCGCTGACTGTCCGGAGATCCCAAAAGGACACCGTCATAAATGTGAACCAGATGCCAAGTGAATATGTGACCGTGGGAATGATTGATCAGTCTTAAGTGTGAAAAATGGTCCTAAATTGGCTTTTTTTTTCAGTGGCCGCTGTAATTTTGAATGGTAGATTGCAAATCAAGGACTGTCTGCATGGTCAACCAGATCATCTCAGGCAGGGGGGTCTCCAACCTTGAGAACTTTTAACACTTGTGGGCTTCAACTTCCCCAGTTGAAGTCCACAAGTCTTATCGTTGCCAAGGTGGGAGACCCCTGATCTTAGGAAATTCTTTACAACCGCATAATCTTGGGAGGAACCGTAGCACTTACCAGGAGCTGTGACTTCATGCGTTCGTCTTCGGCGGAAGCTCTCTCGCGCAGGACGGCCCTAGCCAAATGCTCGCTGGACGCAGCCCTCTCCCGGTCAAGGGCTTTCGCCAATTCATCTTGGACGGACGATTGGCTTTGTTTTAATCTGCAAAAAGAGCCGAGCGTCAACTCGTAAAACAGTTCTAGGGTCTTTTTAGAGTTGCCAACGGAAAGGGAAGGGGGAAAAGAGGTTTGAAAGAGCAGTGTGGCAGCTTGGAAATCGAAAGTGCATTCCATGCATAATTTTTCAGAGATAGTAACTAGGTGACTGAAGTTTCTGCCATGCCAAAGTCTAACTGGAGAGCATGATTGAGGACTCTGGGCCATGGAGGTGACCCATTGGAGAATATGAATTATGCTACGCCCAGGGGGTGGGGGGAAAACCAGGGTCAAGGGTGACAATGAATGATGTGCCTCGGAGTCGGCTACACCCAGGCAGTGCCGGACATGGTAACTCCCAATAAATCCTTTTGAAGTTTTGGAAGTTTGGCTCGAAACTCATGATTTATTTATTTTTTTAATAAACTTTATCGAATTTTTATTATACTAAAAACATAAAAAAATATATCACTCAATAACAGCCATTTGTGGTGCTTATTGTACGACAATAATTTGTGCAGAGACTCATGATTTAATTGGCGTAACTGCCGGAATCCTGACACCAAGACAGAAAAGTTACAATCAAAACGAATGTCTGCCTAAGGCACGGCTGTCAAACTCAAGGCCCAGGGCCTGAATCCGGCCGACAAGGTGCTTAGATCAGGCCCACGGGGCCGCCCTGGAAACAGTAAAGGATCGGCCCGCGGTGCCTCTGCCCGCAAAAATGGGCTCCCGAGCTCCATTTTCGGCTGTGACGGCCTTCTGCAACTCTGCCAGCCAAAACCCTCTTCTATTGGAAGCTTGCTATCATGTCACCCCTGGTCCTTCTTTTCTCTAGACTGGGCATGCTCAGTTTCTGCAAACTTCATATGTTTTAGCTTCTTTGAGGGGAAAAAGGGGGGGGGGGGAAGAGAATAAAACCTTGGAGGTCTTCTAGTCCAACCCTTGCTCAAGCAGGAGACCCTATAGGATTCCAGACAAATAAATGGCTGTCCAAATTTCTTCTTTAAATCCTCCACTGATGGAGCATCCACAACTTCTGGAGGCAAGCAGTTCCACTGGCTAATTGTCCTCGCTGTTAGGAAGTTTCTCCTTAATGTGCTGTACTGCACACCAGAACAACTAGACACATGGATAGTTTTTCCCCCGAACGCCATCACTCTGCTAAACAAATAATTCCCTCAACACTGTCCAACTATTTACAAAGTCTGCACTACTATTACTATTAATCTACTCATCACTCCTTATCACCCATCCCCTCCCACTTGTGACTGTATGACGGTAACTTTATCACTTGTATCCTTACGATTTATATGGACTCATTCCTAGTATGATTTGATTGCTTGTTGTACCTTATAACTATCATTATTAAGTGTTGTACCTGGTGATTCTTGACTCTTGACGAATGTCTCTTTTCTTTTATGTACACTGAGAGCATTTGCACCAAAGACAAATTCCTTGTGTCTCCAATCACACTTGGCCAATAAAGAATTCTATTCTATTCTATTCTATTCTATTCTATTCTATTCTATTCTATTCTATTCTATTCTATTCTATTCT